TCTGACGTGCGGCTGTGATTTATAAAGGAAAGATGCGCAGAAACGTGCGTACGCACCGTTTTATAAATCTGAAAAAAATTTTGGCGTACGCCATTTCCGCCTTTTGGCCGTAGGTTCACTTTTAGTATGGTTTCCACGCAATCCTTTATAAATGAGACCCCAGGAAAGGAAATGGGATATTTGAACACCTGTCACTGGTCAAGAAGAAAATCCTGTTTTTCTTATAGAAATTCAATCATTAAAGTTTGAATAAAATTCCAGCAGTGCCGGTGCTTTATAAATCATGGTTTCGCCCAACACCAGTGTACATCTGTGTTAGACATGGAGGGAAATGTTCAAAAGGGAGAAAACATTGTCAATGGGATTATTTGAGGATATAAGTCGAAAAGCAGTGAGGTGAGGCAAAAACAGATGACAGTGGACATGAGGGAGGGGAGGAGACACACTGTGGGTAGAGTCCTCACCATTCCTTGGGTAATAAGCCAGCTGTCTATGGGCAGCTCCTGATCTGCCGGGTTATCATCCCCTTTTACCCTCAGCTGAATCAACAACAGAATAACACCTTACACACAAGAGAAGAAAGGCCCCACCACAGCAAAGCACACAGTCCAGAGAAAGAAGACAGAGAAGTCAAATGTGCGAGAGACGACTATCATCAAAAAGAAAAAAAACTGTTAAAAAAGGTAATCAAACAGAGGAAAACAGAAGAAAATGGCCAAACAGCATTCCATAAAGAGATGAAGATGAAAAAAAAGAAAGTGAATCAAAAGATGAGATTTGATTTGGTTGTTTTCTTTCAGCTGCTTCCTTCTGCAGGCGTCACCGCAGCAAACTTTGCATGAAAAATTTGGCAATTGTTCTGCGGCGAACGTCCTTCCTGACTCAAACTGGGCTTGAACTCGCCGCTTCAGATTTGATTCGGCAAAACGTAAAAATGTCTCACTAAAAAGACAAGCACTCAGTGTTGTTTCAGACCTCCGAATCATTTGTGTACAGATGTTTGCTCAAACAGAAAATACATTGAAAAACCCTGAAACAACCCATGACCTCTGAGTTTGACTCCATGCGATAGCTGATTGTAAATATTTGCTTTTTAACCTGAATCCAGACAAACCTAAAGTGACACCAAATTGAATCCCCTGCAAAACACACATTCATCTTTTTAACTTTTTCATAGCGATAAGTGGCACATTTTATCTATTTAGACCAAGAAATTATCTGTTTTAAGTATCCAGCTAACACACAAGCAGAAGCAGGGAGTCACCAGAGGCTTTTGGGAAACTTGTCCTCTAATACCCTCACACTCTACCAAGGCAACATTTTAATCCATCTCCATGTTTCAATGTACTCACCCCAGTTGCATTCTGTTGTCGAACATCTAAAGCAGAGGTAAGGCCACCCAGAGCAACAGGGTCTTCATATTTTACACTGAGCACAAAAACAGAGAAATTACAAGAACATCCAGTACTGAAAAATAACAAGTATAAAAACATATTTACACCAAAAAACACACAGGACAGACTGAGACACTTTGGTATAAATAAGAAATATTTCTAGTAATAATTGGCAACATTAAGGCCATATCTTTCTAAAGATTGCAAGATTATGATTTTGTTTCAATTATCTTTCATCAAAAGCCATTTTCAGTTTAAAGGAGACATGTCATGCTTTTAAATCTTTTTTCCCCCATGTTTAAACCATTCAGTTGGGGTCTATATAAAGTGGAACTGCAATGCTTTGGTCTGAATTCCTCCTTATTGTAAATCCACAAGCCCCTCTTTCACCCCTTTTCTGAGGTGTCTCAGAGCTGCTCGTTTTGAGGCTGTCTCTTTAAATCAAAATGAGGCGCTTCATATCTAAATTCAGTGACGTAGTAGTTCAGAAAACGTCACAGAAAATAGAGAAAGTTGAATGGGTTGAAAAATATGACCCAAACAGAATATAAAGATATCTAGAAACTAAATTCAACTTTTCCTTTTCTCCTAGAGACTCAAAGTACAAGAAAATGTACTTGATGTCTTAGAAGTATCACATGTCGTTTTTGAAAAATAAATTATCCTTTAAAGTCCTACAAACTTGTCAGGCCAAGTGTCAGTGACCTCTTTTGCCTACCTTAAAATGACATGTTTTATGAGTCCACACTTTATCTTCTGTTTTCTCTCGGACACAGTGTTTTAAGATCAGGACAACATCTGTTAGAAGTAATCATTCTTGTTGCTGTTTWTCAAACATCATTTTCTCCTTGGCCCAGCTTCGACGCCAGGAAAGATGTTTATTGACTGTTGGATAACATACTGTATAAATGAGTGTATTTGACACGGCCTCATGGCACACATTCTATGTACCACTGCCCTGTGTGACATGATGTGTGTCTTGCAGTTGCAATAGATCCTGTTCTTTTTATGTTTGGACCACGTGTTTCTGTTTTGGTTGAATAAAGATTTTCGCGACACACGTAGGCCTACTTTTTGCGTTGTTCAGCCAGAGAACTGCCTCTGGTCTGAGCGAACATGTCAAAGTCATCCTTGTTTTGAGTCGACAGAGACGACAGGGTTCCGCTCACACTGTCTGAACCTACATCTGGAGAAAAACGGGGTGGGGAAATACAAAAGTAGGAGGAGAAAAAGCGGAACCATGACTGAAACAATACGATGAGGACCAATCTGACACTATGAACAAAACCCAGTGAAATTTTTGTTCTTACCAAGACTAGCCAGTGCAGTGGACAGGAAGGGTGCTCCAGAGCTGCGGGCTGGGGAGGCTGTGGCCCCTGCTGCAGAGCTGCAAGGAGGGCTGGATGTGATCCTGGGTGTGACTACAGCAGGGGATCCAGGGCCCAGATCTATCAGGTTGTCCTCTGTGGCTTCAGTTAGCATCTGAGAGGTGAAGGAGAGGAAAAGAGTCAAATACGCCAGTGCCAGTTTGCAAATTAACAATTTACTATTTTTAATGAACACATAGCTACAGTTATTACAGAACCAACAACCAACGGGTGTACCGACTGCAGTTTTTTGGACAATCACAGATCTTTAAAAAGTCTAACCTGCTGATTCTGATTTTAGCCGATCCCGATTGTTTCAATAACTCTAAGTACATAATGTGCTAATATTAGTCACTCGTTCATTTTTTGGTGTAAAGGCTGGGACAGAACGTGGTGCTGGGAGCACCTGCTTCTGTCAGCTAGCAGCAACCCAAACAAACGGAGCACACAGAGATAATAAACAATAAATATAAAACAACTCGATCTAACAAATACATCCAGATCTACTTCTCAACGACCTTGTAAAATGCTCAACACTGGAAAATTTGCATCCAGTAAGTGAGAGGTTTCTGAGTTTCAATGTTTTCAGTTTATTTTTCATGTTTTTTGTGACGCTACTTACCCCATTGTTCTGTGCAGCCCGTCCTGACCTGTACCGCTCATACCTGTGAGCAGCAGGAAACACTGTAAATGTTTCACCACAAGCTTTGAGCTTCAAACGTTTACACATCTTCAAAAGAAACTTAACACCAACAGAAGGCTTAAAAAATTAAAATAAAAAAATGACATCCACTTCTTTTTATTGAGGTTTGCTTTTGCCCAAATTAAAATATGTAATTAAAATAAAGCATGTTTACTCAAAGAAAAGTTTTTTTTTTATCTACTCGCAGCACCTGCTGTGATTTAACACTATGACAAACACAAATAGGCCCCACACAACCTATTTCTTTTTTCTGCTGTCAAATAAAGTTTGACGAACTGATAGCACCTCTCGTATCGCAGAAAAACATTGTTGAGGTCATCGTTGACGTGCAGCAGCTCCTCCGTCACCTCCTCGTTGGAGACGAGGGAAATCAGCTCCACCACTCTCTGCTGCATGGCCCGGCAGGTCCGGTTCAGCTCCTGGACACGTCGACGACAACAACAACAACAACAACAACAGATTGATCAGCAGAATGACGAGAGACGAAGGCAAACTTCGATCTGAGGAAAAGGCCGAGCGGGAACAAACACAAACAGACACGCTGGTGTTTAGTAATTACTAAACTAAGCCTCTGTAAACAACTTGTTTTGTCAGCACATCCTTTTTAATGCTCCTCAGTTGTGGCTTGTGAATATGAGGGCATTATAAAACACAACCATGCAATGGATTTACTGCATCTAAATTTTTTTAAATAAAATAAATTCATAAAAATCACCACATAATGATTAAAGCTGGCACAGGATCGTCAGCGCCGGGCCAGATCCTCGGGGCTGACACAAATACCTGAGTGGATTTGACTCGAGGAGATTAAACTCTACAACAGTGTCTGTATCGCTGGCTGATCGCCATTTAGAGGAATTTCACCGCAGCACCTCTCTCACACCTTTTAAGGAGCCGTAGGTGAGAAAACAGATCACATTGCACCCTCTAGTGGATGTAAAGTGTTACAACACTTCACAGGCAGAATAAGTGGCTTTGCAGATGCTTGGAGAAAAAAAATATTTTGTTTGTATATATTTTATCTCAAACCAAGAAACAGATATGAGTCCTATGATATCACACTGAGGATTAAGTCCCAAAGTGGTTTGTTGAAAAAATAGGCCATTTTAGAGTATTGATTAAAATGTTAGCAATAATTGCATTTTGTCAAAATATAATGAATACACACCGTATCTATTGGTTGTTTATATGATGTATCTGAAATAATAGTCTTGAAAATAGTTTTGAAGCGTTATTTTGAGCAGTAACTACAAAAAATATATTCTGAGCCAAAGAGAAAACTGTATTTTTTGTCATTTTTGTTGAGAGTTAGCAAAGTTCTTCTTCTTTCCAGCTGGGAAATCTTAATTTCCAAATGTTGTTTGAGGTTAAGTCTTTAAAATAACATGAAAAATTCCTCATCAGAATAAATTAAAAATAGGATTTAGACCAAATATCAACGGATTATTCTGATTAGGAAGACAAATCAAGGCGTATTTCTGGAACCGCTAATGATATCAGGATGATCTAAATATCAAAACGTAACTTAAAAAGCAGAAATCTGAAAATTTGCTTAGCTCATTTTCACCAAATCTGGCTTAATAATCGATTTGATGTGATCGGTCACATATAGGCTTCGTTAGGACACAAGTTTGTGATGCTGAAGGTGTTTCCGTGTTTGAGTCTAACCTGGAGCAGCTCTAAATCCGAAGCGTCTTCCTGCCCAGGAACCATCTCAGTTAACATCTCTGACATGACTTTAATGTTTCCCCTCACGATGTCCAGCTCACTCCGCAGAYGGGCAATCTGAAAGCAGATCAAAAACAACGCTGGTTCAGTATCGGCTGCTCGGGAATCGCAGCTGCTTTCAGTCATTAACTTCAAACAGATCAAACTGCTGCGGTGATGTCGCAGGAAGTGAGCCTCACCTGTTCAGGGGTGGCTGTGATGGGGCTGGGGATGTTGGAGGTCCGCGTGGCAGCAGGGGCGGGTGGGACGGGCTTAGGGGCGGCAGACGAGGCAGGAGCGAGATACTTTAACATGGCTGGGTCCACTTCCGGTGTACCCTGTGATTCCAAATAAAAACCGCTGAATGCTAACGGCGTGTGCATTTAAGTAAAGTCTGGATCTGTTTGATCCTTTCTTCTCACTCTCTGTGGCGTGTGAATGGGAGACAAGGCATCCAGGTCAGCCATGGGGAACTCCACGCCTTTTCTCTTCAGCTCCTCGTAGATGTGGACGACACCAGTCAGATCAGGACTACTCCTGAAGGCGTCCGCCCAGGACTGTCACAACAAACAAACCTCCAGTCATAAAGGCTAATAAATATTTACAAGTTACACAGACACAAAGAGCATCACACTGTTTAAAGTGGACATGTCATGCTTTTAAATCCTTCTTTTTCACATTTACATCATTCAGTTGGGGTCTTTATAAAGTGGAACTGCAATGCTTTGATCTGAATCCCTCCTTATTGTAACTCCACAAGCCCCTCTTTCATCTCTTTTCTGAGGTGTGTCTCAGATCAACTCGTTTTGAGGCTCTCTCTTTACACTCAAACAAGTTTCTTCACACCCCGCCCCCCTCCAGCTTCCAGACCGGTCCATTCCAGTTTGATAGAGGGGATTAATCCTGTCTTTAAAGTGCTTGTGACATCAAAATTTTTGAAATAATACAAATGCGTTTTTGGAGAGACAACACTGAGAACGTATTGCAAAATAATTTTCATGCTGCTGAGATGAACAGTTGTTGAGATGTTTGCATGTGAAGTAACAGGAAGCGATGTCAAAGGGGAATGTCTGCACAAAAACAAAGCTAAGCTAAAATGCTCAACAGCCCAGACTGTGGAGAGGAATCTGATGTTTTAGATTATTTTGAGTCGCTATCAGACAGAAACAAAAAAAATTAGTCAGAGTTCAAACCATAATGTTTCAATAAACAAAGATCAGTGAGTTGTTTTTCTTTGATGTCACTTCCTGTTTCTCTTTTTCCAAGCCAAGTTCAAAAGAAAATCGGTCAGTTATGTGTCCAAATGGGTAAAATAATGTGTGATGTGACAAGTTTCTTAAATAGAACAAAGTTTTCTTTGATGTTTTGTATCTGAAGGATAAGCATGTCACAGGCACTTTAAAGATATCTACGCAGCACCAAGAGAGACTAAATTCTGCACTCCTAGAGACACAACAGAATGCATTTAAAGTGGATCTTGCATGATATGTCCCCTTTAAGATCCTGAGACTTTAAGGAGGGACACCTCATAAAACACAAGTCTTCCAAAGACAATCACTAAAGCTTGATTACTTGTATGAGAGACAACACTTTGTCCTGCACGATTGTAGGAGGATTGGTTTTGGGGGAGATGATTTTGACGAGAACGCCATCAATGAAGTCTTTGTTGGCCACCTGGATGTGGAACCTGTGACCACAGTTCTTCACACAGGTCTCCAAAACCTTCAGGAAAAAAAAAACATCAAATAGAAATGCACGACAAAGCCTCGTGTGGCTCCCGCCTGTTATTCAGCCAATTCGTGTCTTTTAGAACTGATGTGTTGCGCTCATTTTTTTTGCCAGCTGGGTTTTTAAACTTTCATACCGTTAGTGCCAGCATAACCTCTCTGTAGTTYTTGTTCCCACTCAGTCTCTTCTTCAGCGCTCGCATGGCATCTTTTGGCCTAAAAAAAAAAAAAAGTAGAGTCAGCAGAGAAGTTCCAGCTGCGTCAGGCGACCCCCTGCTGAGAGCGAGCGTAACACCACTGACTTTGTTGGAACAAACTCCTGTCTGTGCCACGGGAACAGATGCTAGTCTGTCTGTCAGTGAAACTATTTGACAGAGAAAGTGAAGAACTGTCACACCATCTGGCTCTGCCTTTTTTTTTCCTGCATGGCTGCAAAATGTTTCTCCCAAGGCAAGATCAAAGCTGTCCACGCATGAGGAGTTCAGGCTGGCTTTCTGCCTGATCCTCCCCATCTCCTCACAGAAGATGAGCCATAATAAGTCTTTATGAGCTCCKTTATACAGTACAGGTACTTAGCAAGGCTGTTGGAACGGATAAAGATGGTCGAAGACAGAGAACACAGACAGAGTTAGAGTTTTCCCTGCAAAGCTTCGCACGTTTAATCTTGTTAAAAAGATGTAATAATAATCGTTTCTTRTTATCTGCTACAGTTGCCTTTTGTTTTTTTAGTGGGTGCATCTGTTTTATCTTGTTTCAGCATACACCATCTGTTGTCACACTTTTAGATGTCTGATCGTTTGAAAGCACTCTGAAGTACGTGTTAGGAAAACATCACACATAAGTTGCGAAAAGCATATTCAGAGCCTCCCAAATTTCCAACTCCAGAGCTCACCCGTTTGTTTTGTTTGTTTTTTTTTTCCTCTTTGTTTTTCTTACTAAAACATCTTGAAGACAAGATGTTGCGTGCTCTGTTGTAGTCTGCGTTTGCTCTGAGGTGGCAGAGAAAGCCACGTGTCGTCTGTCAAGACAAAGAGGGAGTGTGGGCATGAGGAATGTGAAACAGATTTTGCAGAAAACGGTTTTGTACGAACATCCAATTGACAATTTTCCCAGAATGTTAGTATTTGTTGGAACTCCAATCCCATTCAGTAAAAAACGCTTTGTGTGTTCAATGCATCTTATTTCTTTAAAAATACCTTAATCACAAGCGAGTAGCTGTGTGTGTGTGTGTGTGTGTGTGTGTGTGTGTGTGTGTGTGTGTGTGTTTAATTTTTCTCCTATTTTAAGTGTTCATACCTCAGATAAATAAATAAAGATCAAAGTTACAGATTTTTTGGAGAGATGTGTTAAATATGTACATCCAGTGATTACTTTAAGAGTTTCATTAAAATCCATCCACTGGTTCATGAGATAATTTGCTAATGCTACAAACAAACAAACAAATAAACATAGACAGAGGTAAACATAAATCTTGTAGTTTGTCAGAACACTGTAAGTCCGACGTTTCTTCATGTCRGAGGCTGATGCAAGATTTAAAACGATTCAATCCGACAGACGGAAGCACAGAGGGAAAACAAAAGGTTGTGTGTGTGGTGTTACCAGAAACCTTGTCTTATTTGATTTGTCTGCAACAAGACACAGACGGCTTTGTTCCAAACTGCTGCCAGACTAAGCATTTCAGGGCCGAATATATATCCCCAGCAACCCTGCCGAGTCATGAAAAGGGTAATTATAACCCAGTCCTAATAGATTTTCTGCTCACCCGTCGTCGGTTTCATTTATGATATCGCAGATCTCCATGTTGAGGGTCCAGTCCTCGCTCTGTAGCCCTCCATCTGTGGCTCTCTCTGGAAAGAAGAGACACGCAGGGAAAGATCAGAATGTTAGAAAAGGCTGTGGTTTACTTTTTCTACATTTGAGAGCAGAAATGATCACTAATGATTTCACTTTAATAGACGTTCTGTGAGGTAAAACTAGTGGCTTTCTGCAGTTAAAATTTTTCAATAAAGCATGTCTGTTAAGGCCCTGTCACACTAAAACGCTTTACACAACTTGAGAAAAGTTTGTCCAACACTAAATATGTCTAAGCTTAAGGTGGAATAAAAAAAATCTACTGGAAGCCTCTTTTGGAAAGATACTGTAATGTTAACAAATAAAATAAAAAAACAGCCGATACGAGTAAAATAGTCATAACAAAATTTTTGGAAGTTGGTACAAGTTGTTTAAAACGTTAGTGTGACAGGGCCTTTAGGAAGAAGATTAAAGCATTAGGGCTGCTCGATTATTGCAAAAACTGTAATCACAATTTTTTATTGAAATTAAGATCTAGATTATTTAACTAAATTATTCATTCACTTTGATAACATGMATTTATTGAACATAAACAATGGCTGTTAAACAATATTTCCCTCAGGATTTCAAATATTGTTGAAAAGATTAGAGAAAGTTAAAACTTTGGCTGAGGGAGGAGCCTGCAGCGAAGTGCTGGCAGCGGCACTGGATTCACAACACAAAACAGCACAAGCGTGAACTGCAAACTTTGATCATTATGCTTTTATGATCGCTGAAAACCCAAACCATAAACAAGATCAAATTCTGATTAATTGCCCAGTTATGCTATCCCTGGTAGTTTAGTGCAGGGKTATGAAACCTTTACAGTCAAAAGAGCCATTCCCGCATCTTTTCCCACAACATAAAATTTGCCCAGAGCTGCAAAATCTATTTGATGTTTGAAAACAAAATAAATTTTTAAAAAATGCAATAGTGTAATTACTCTATTTTTTTAAAAAATGATAGGTTCGTGTATTTACATGTCAGAACAAAGAAGACAACCAAATTTTTACGAAAAATAGAAAACTAAAGTAAAACGTTTTCTTTTGTATAACTGCCATGATAAAATCTGAACACTGAATTGTGCAGCTTTGTTTATTATCCTGTTTTTCTATGTGGATGTCCTGTGGAAAAAACAAGATATTTTAACTGGCAACAAATCAGGAGACGAGGAAAAACTACTTCAAAGCTTTTTGTTCCCATTGGTCTCCCACGATGCTTTGAACTCTAGTAAATTCCTAGAGAGAACAAAACATTTAACTAGATCCTGGGGTAAAAAACATGTTAGGAGATAAAGTCACTAACTGTGGGCGTGACAGAGCTCAGAGATCAGATAATACAGTTATTTAACTCTATGGTCATAAACGCTCATAAACAGAAGCCACTCTACTTACTACACTTACTTCACACTCCATAATAATCCAGATTCCAGATCTTTGGGGATTTTATTTTCTCATCAGCTGTAAATAAACGTGACGACCACGAAGCAACATATTTCTTAATATCTTATTTACATTCAGGCATAACGCAATTAAATGTAACTGTAATACACTGTGAAGCACACAGAATTTGTTTTACCACAGCTCTCTTTCTGCTGCCCCATGTAAGCTCCCCAAGTGCACTGTTGTGTCACTGCAGGGCAGCGCACAAGTGGAAGAGAGGAAACAGTCAAATAAACAGTGAAATGTGCTGAAATGACACTGAACAATTGGAGCTCTACTAACAGTTTAAGTGGGTTAATTCATCATGGTGTTGTGTCACCTCTCCTGCACCCTCTAGGTTCAGGAATTGACAGGACACGAGTGAAGCCAGTCCATCACGTGGCTCCAACGGTGCCAAGCTGCACCACGCACTCGCCAACAAAGCTGTAAGTCCCTCTCCGGCCTATCTCTCTTCAATGTAGACTTTCAAATCTCTTCGTTCCTCCCATCCCAGTGTTTGACTCGTCCACATCTTGAGGGGGTTTTTATTTGTTCCTAATCCATGTCTCAGTAATAGTAACTCTATGACCAGCTGGTGGCTTGGATGTAAAAAAAAAAAAAATGTTAAAAATTAACACACATCTCCTCTCTTTTTGCCAAGTGGGAATGTTTTTTTTTTTTTTGTTTTTTTTTTGCCCCCTCTGTTGAGGTGCACAGATCATCACTGGAACAGAAAGCTGGACAAAAAAATCTCAACTGCAGTGATTTGTGAAATGCTGAAATTCAAGATGTAACAAACACTGCAAAACTCAAATGGACCACTGCAGCGTGAGAAGCAAGTGCTGATGCTTTTGGTGATTCTGAAGCCTTCCCTCTTTATTTTTATAAGCATGAACTTAAAAAAAAAAACAACCAGTTGAACTATGTGTCCGTTTCATGGTCAAAAGTAACTCCTATATAAATATTACTGTTTTGATGATAATTACGATTCATAAACGACAGCAAAAGTCTCCAGCCAACACAGTCTATGAATGTACCTAAAAAAGTGAAGTTATAAATTTAAGAGAGCATTAGTGATGAGTAAAACAGTGTCCTCTTGTGATTTGACATAAATAGAAACATTTAATTTAAAATATACTGATGCTTGTTTAAAACAAACAACAAAAAAACAGTTCTGACATAGTGCTATTGTCATAATTTGCACCATTACACAGTGATCAGACATAATTGATGATAACTGGCCTAAATTTGGCATTGTTTAAAGCAAAGGGCAAATATATATCTAAACACAAAAGAATAAAATGGTACGCTGCACATGCCAATTTTCTTCTAACGGAGGACAAAGTTTGACAGCAGAAAACACGAGGGTTTAAAGTTAAAACAACAAATCCGGCCAGTAAATCTGGATAACTATTGCTCAGGGACTGAATATCAGTAAAYAAGCCCAGTCTTATAATTAAGTTTCCATATTTACGTATTTTGTGATTTACTACATTGGAAAAACTACTTGCGCTGTCTTTACAAACACATGATTATGATAATTTAGCGTAATGCTAATCGTAACAGACTAACTTATAGGTTTGCTGGCTAACATTAGCCGAAAGCTCATTCCAAGCAGATGACGTTTGCTAGGAAGATACCAGCTCGAGCTCGCGTTTTTTGTGTAATTTTAAAGAGTAAATTCTCAAATTATTCACGAGGGAAGAAGCCCAACGCCTCTAATTAATAGTATCCAGGCTTTACGTACCTACGCATTGGCCCACAGGAGTGCTGTAAGGATTTCCAAGTAAAAACTCCATTTTCACAACAAACGATCAGCTAGGGATTGACAGACTGAGGCCCAGAGGCGGTGCAGCGAAGCCCCACCCATTAACACATTAACTATTGGACGAGGAAGAGTAAACCTCTCGCTTGATTGGCTGAAATAAGTGTCAGTCATTATTAGCATCCTAGAGCTGTGTTCAACAAATCCCAGTACCGTTCTAACAGCATTGCTTTTTTTTATTTGATTATGCTCAAAATATTTTTAAAAAGCGCTAAAACCTTAAATTTTTAAACCAAAGATTTGTTTTATTAAATAATTCTTAAGTTGAATTTTTTTTTACTAATAATAGTAAAATATGGTGGTGAATATTTCTTTTTAACAGGTTTTCTTGAATGCTTTTTAACGCATCTCAGCGTTACCTGTTGCTAAGTAACTGTACGTAAACAGGGTTTTTAAACTTGTTTTAGGCCTTTACATGGACAAAAACAAAACAATATCTACGTTTTCCTAATATCGTGTAAGTATTGCCGTGAACTAATTATTTAATTCCATCAAATTGAGGATAAAAGTTAGTCTTTGAAACATTTTCGAACTTTTTTTTTGAAGAGCTCATTTTTTACTCGAATAAGTTTGACGGCTACTTCTTTCCTGATTTTACAGATTGTCATTTCCAGCTCGACAATATGTACAATAAGTACTGGAGGCAGTACCCCACAGTAATTAACGAGGAGATGTTGCGGGAGGCTGTGAAGAATGACATCGTTCAAAGCAAAGATGCTCTGAAGGGAAAACGACTTTTATCTTCATGCTTTGAATGCAAACATGAAGTCTTACACGTAAACTTGGAAAACAAAAGTAAGAAGGAACTTTAAAATGTTGCTTTTAATTAGTGCATTTTTWAATTTTATTTATGCAAAATATATTTTACAGACATCCTGAAGATTGACCTTTTATATGATTTTACATCTCTGGTGAGGCTTGATCTGAATTACAATGTAATAGAGAAGATCGAAGGCCTGGAAGCTCTGATTAATCTCAAATGGCTCAGTGAGTTTTTTTTTATTTTTTATTCAGTTCATGTTTTATTTTAATGGTTGTCTTTGCACTGACCAAAAAAAATCCCATTTTTAGATCTGTCTTTCAACAAGATTAAAAAAATTGAGGGCCTGGAAACTCTGCAAAAGCTCGAAGATCTGAACTTGTCCTACAATCAAATCACTCTCCTTGAGAATATGGACACATTGGAAAACCTGACGCTTCTCTTCATCAGAAACAACCACATCAGTGAGCTGGACAATGTAAGACCTGTTTTCTTGTCCTAAATGAAGTCATCTGTCTGCATCGCAAGAAACTAATTCATTGCATTTTTAAAATTCCTTACCTTGCAAGGCTGTTTACACAACTTTGTGTATCTGATCCATTTCAAAGGTGCTCTATCTCGCAAGGTTTAAAAAACTGTCCAAGCTCTACATGACTGAAAACCCWGTCTCTAACAAAGAAGATTATGCACTTTTTATCTTTGCTGTTTTGCCAAACCTGACCTACCTGGATAACATTTTAACTGACCCAAATACAGTAAGTTTTTTTCTTTTCTTTTTTTAAGAGCATTTGAGCCCCCTGTGATGTTAATACTACAAATAGAAAATTGTATGTCTATGTTTGCACAGAGAAACAAAGCAGCCATCAAATACCAAGCTGTTCTTGAGAAAATGAAACATGAGGAGCTGCAAAAGCAACAAGCAGATGAGGCCCAGCAAAGCCGTGAAGCTGAGCTAAAACTCCACCATGTAGGAAAAGGTTTCTGTCTATTAGTGCGTCTTTTCAAGTGGGCACGAATTATGACTTGTCTTGTTTTTCTCAACAGGATGCCTTTGTGCAGGAGCTCGATGGGTCCAGTCTGTTCACCAGCATGTTTAAAGATGATCCAGAGGCAGTGAAACCACAGTTCCTTCAACGAATGGCTCCTCTGCTTCAAACATATCCTTTTTCTTGCTGTAATTTTTTTATCTGTTTTACATGAAGTGATCTAATGTTTCCTTAAATACCTTGATCTGATCTTACTTTTGAGCAGCAAATGGTGGATCTGTGTAGACGCTTTTTACACTTTGGCTTGGCGGAACTCAAACAAAGAGAAGCAGAACTGAATGCTTTCCACGTGGGYCAGAATGAGGCTGAGGCATATTACAAACAGAAGACATCACAGATACTGGCAGAGTTTGATCAGGAGCACAGAGAGGCAAGCAGAGATAAACCAATTTATAAAGACATTACTGTAAATCGGTAATACAATAACCCCTCCCCATCCATTAATAAGATTATCTCATGAGTTTAAATGTTTTAGAGGATTGCAGAGCTGCAGAATTTGACAGACTCAGACCTGCTTAAAGTCCAGATCAACAGCTGCAGTGGTGCAATCACCCAGCTCCAGAAAATGCTCCTGACAGTAGAGTTTGACCTGATCAGCAATCTTGAGGTAATCTTCTGAACATTTTATTAAACCACTTACTTTGTTTGCATCGTGCTTTGGCTTCACAGTTACTAAAGTGATGTTTTTTTTTTCAGGAAAACATCACAACGCTTCGAGACTCTATCTCAGACATGGTCAGACACTTTTTGGAGACTGCGCAGGAGACATATCCTTTTTTTTACAGTCAACATAACAACTATGAATTATTTCAGACACGAGAAAAAATATTTTTTTACTGATATCTACTATGTTTAAGTGTATTTTCATAAATATCAAGTTAACCAACCAGGTGATCAGAGCACAATCTATTTGTGGAAGTTGCTAGTGACAACTAGAACAGAGGAGCCCAAAGTGGGGCCCGCGGGCCAAATTTGGCCCACCAAGCCATTTGGTTTGGCCCACCAACAGTTGCCAAAGTTACAAGGCTGTAACCTGTTATCCTATGTTGAAACACAGTATTTCCATTGGTCAAATGACTATATAAAAGGGCTGTAGTGAAGGTAGTTTTYATTCATGGTGCTCACTTTATCTTTGATTTATTACGGTTAAACATGAACATGAAATGACAAGAAATATTTAGATCAGATTTAACCACACGTATAGATTTGCAAATCTATATGCACACTTTATAAGGCCACAAAMACTCAGATTTTATCAATTTATGAAATGTCCCACAAGCCTTTGCTACTTGAGCGTATGACAGACTTTCTCCAAGTGCACAGACTAAAACYAAAGAGGGCCATTGCATAGGTTAATCATTAAAAATAGAGGAATTTACTTWAAAAAGTACTTGTATTTCATGTATTTTGTTATGCATTTGGCCCGCAGCCCTGGATAGATTTTCRTTTTGGCCCTCTCGGGGAAAATGTTTGGGCACCCCTGAACTAGACCAAACTGTTTCTGTCATCAGATACCAACCAGCCCCTGCAGGGCCAAAGCTCAGCCACAGGAAGATGGTCTTTGTTCACTTACAAACAAGACTATGACTTTTTTCCCCGGTACCTTATTTAGATAAAGTTGAATACAAGTCAAYATCAAAGCAGTAGTTTTGCATGTTTGCCTTATTTGAAATCCTAGTTTCTTTGACTCARTTATACATTTGATCAGTTTCGTGACCTGGAGGATAAATACCATCAGAATGTGCAAGAAATTGCTRTTGAAACTCAGGGAACAGTGGCAAATCAAAATCTGGAAGAGGATGTACCAGAAGATGTAACAAGGGTTAGAATAGTTAATTTTTGTTTACTGTATGTTTCCTTTTTACTGTTGTTGATAAAGCATTTTAATTTATTTCATGGTTAAACTCAAACATGCTGGGTTTACAGAAATAGCAATCGCTTATTTAACAATTGTGCAGGAAAACAGCAAGGTGTGGTATAAGGACTGTTTTGCTCTTGTTTGTTTTTGCATCTAGCTTCTCACAGACACAGATTTGTTGACAAATGCCTTCAAAACGARCCATGAAAACCGCCTGCAGACGATAAATGACAGAGAGAACCAGCTGATTACACAAGTTGCTGCTTGGAAAGTGGCTCTCTTTAAAGAGGTACAGAACTGAAATTACATTGACATTGATAGTTTAGTATATCTGTATAAGGCATATAATAGACCTCACCTTATTTAACTTTTTTCTTATTTTCTTATGGGCCATTACAGATCCAGGAAAAGGAAGTACAGCGAAAACATGTGCATATGACAAGCATTCACGAATATGAGAAGTTTTTGAGGACGCAGATAGAAGGACTGGCATTAAAATCTTAAATTAACAAGATTTCACTGTGTGCAAATAAATAAATAAATAAAACATGCATTCTACAATGTCATTAATTGAATCAGATGTCAGTAAAAAACTGATTTAATGAAACATGCATTTTTTCTTGTTTTTTGTAAGGAAAAATGGATGGATGGATAGTTGGACCTCAAAAGGAAGCTATAATTTTGAATTTGGCATGAACTAATTTTAATACATTCGGTTTTTATACAAATTATTGTATTTTTGACTAAATGAATGAGCTTTACATTTTTAAATATTTTCAGAAACTTGCAGGATAAATGCCTCCGCCTGTCAATGAAAGTATTCAGTTAGAGTGATTTGGAAATAAAATACAACTCCCAGGATGCTCTACGGCACATCGTCCAATAGGAACCTTGCTCGGGCCAAGACCCAGTTTTTAGCCAATGAAATTCCAGGAAGCTGCGCTACTCAAACAAGCGTCGCTTCGTCAGTTCATAAGGTTACCAGATATTTGTGCAAACTTTTGTGCTTCGGAGATTTAYTTATATTTTTATTCCCTGTTGGTCAAACTCTTCCACCGTCGGTCTTCATCCTGTCCCTAGAAGTGGTGTTTTTAGCCTCAGGGTTTATGACGGTCGCTGACGGCGATTTATTCAGCACTCGTCATGCCTGTCCGAGCGGAGCGCTGCTCTACCCCSGGCTCGGCCTGCCCATCCTCGGCCTGTCTTGTCCCCCCTGCCCCGATCAACACCTGCCAGCCGGGGGTGACCGTGTCGTTACTGTACAGCGGCTCGCAGTATCGGGGTTACCAGAGGAGCAAAGGCAACTCTTACGACGTTGAGGTTGTTTTGCAGGTAATTTTATTATAAAAGCACTACTTTAAATGTTTTTTTGTTATTTTAATTATAAGTAAAGTCTTCTCGTGTAGCTTTTTTGTTGCTAACCTACAGCAGCTGTTTTGAACAGTGAGTTAGTTTTTTTGTGTAGTTTTAATTAAAGTGGTATCAAGTKTTTTTTGTGCTTCAAGTCACCTTAATATTTTGAATTTAGCAAATRCTGATTTATCAGGAATGTCAGCAGATTTAACAAATAGTTCTTGTCTGTGTGTGGACTCAAGGCTACAGCTGTCAGTTTTGCCCAACCAATCAAAAATAACTATTCTTTTTTAAAATGTATAATTAAATGTAATGTCAGGCCTGGGAGACATGACTAAATGTACCCTACTCTGTTTACCCTGAACAGCATGTGACTRTGGCTGACTCATATTTGTGTGGATACCTGAAAATCAAAGGCCTGACTGAGGTAAGCCCTGCCTGAGTCAGGAGAGAGGCTGACCTTTGTGCTTTCAGAGACTGAGCCCAAACTAGTTGCCTCTTGACTGGAGCAGGATGAATCAAGAAAATGTCAGGTTAGTTTTGGAGCAACGCTCAGCCTCCCACTCAAGTGTGTCTGCTGTGGACCCATTACATTACGCAACGTGAGCAGGTTTAGAAGTAAGTTTTGGTCGTGACAGAATAGAGAGAAAGCCCTAATTAGACAGTCATATTTAATTCTGAGATCTATAAGTTGGGATGTGGATAAATGTTTAATCCTACACCAATATTAAATCTCCAAAAGAACGTTTCAAACCATACAAAATAACACCAAAATTATGTGATTATCTCAAGTATGAGGGAAGTTATTGATGTTTGTTTAGGTGAAATCAGCTCATGTTTTCTTGCTGTAGTTCACAACAGAACCAGTGGGGCCTTTGTGACCATTTCACCTTACTGTTTTCTATTTTTGTTCATAATGTCCTCAGTGTTCAAGATATCGCCATGAAATTTTAGGAAAAGATTCATATTCTGTTCTTTGTCGGAAGCATCTTGTATCCTAAAAAACTAATAAAACTTAATAATAGCCCATTTAAAAGTAGCAGAAAAGGTATAAAATAATATTACAAGGCAAACTGTATCATCAAATCAACTTGATGTCTTAGAAAGTAAGGAAATTAAAACAATTTAAAAACCATGTGGACATCTGGTTTGTAAACAAAGTTCCTCAACCAATGACAGCGTGTTAAATGTGTCAAGTGACGAAGACGAGCGTCAACACACTTTGCTAACAAGCGCTATTCTGGATAAAAAAAACAAACATACTTTGACCTTTCAAATCATTATCAAATTTGGAAAAAGGGCAGATAAAATAATGTTCTTCATGGCAGCTTATCTGTTTAAGGGGTCACTAGAAAAACTCAGATGATTTACTTTGATCCTATTTTCAAAAAGTTGTCTCTTCAAAATGCATCAACAAAAATTAAAAACTGGAAGACGAGGCTGTAGCTAACTACGTGACGGACGTCGGCGTGCTTTGTTGAAATTCGTAGAAAAAACAAAGCAGGAGGAAATAACAAGCAAACGCAGAGAGCAGCTTTGCAAAATCCGGTCACAGCGGTTTGGAAAGAAAATAGCAGCAGCTGCTGACGAAATGTCAACACCCAACCATTGCAACTAACAATTATTTTAATAATCGGTTAATCTGTTGATTATTTTTTCGATTAATCGGCCAAATCATTAAAATGCTTAATTACATGAATATGAGTAGATATAATTTAAGTTAACTCCTTAAGGATGCAAGTTATTGATAATGAATTAATC